GACCCCCCCACAAAAAAAAAAAAAAAAAAAAAGGCTCTTATCTGGACCCAGACTCCCAGGTTCTAGTCCCGGCCCTGGCCGCCCAGCCGGGTGATCTCACCAGTATCGTGAGGGTGTTGGCTCTTCCTGGGATGACCTCCCACTCTGACAAGCAAGGCTTTCAGGGGACGCGATGAAATGAAGTTGTTTGGGGCGTGCGGCCCTATGGGGTTGTTTGGGGGTGTTCACACTGGCCTCGGACTTGTGAGTCCTCATTATGCCCCATGGTGGGACTGCCCTCTGCTGGTCATTCTGGGGAACACCAGCCTCCTGCTTTTCCCTTCTCCTGCCCCGCCCAACTGGGTTTGGAGTGAGCGCCGCCCACCGCCCCCGCTTCTTGGAGCGACTGCTCCCCCCCAGCCCCAAGGGTTGTGCTGGTGAAGAGAAGAACCAAGAGAAGAAACACCCCACCACCACCTGCCCCAGGGCGCAGCTCAGGCCTCCGCCTGTCCTGGGCGTCCTGCACACTCTGAGCTCCTCTGGTGAGCTCTGGAGGTCTGCTCCAGGTTGGAGACCCACAGAGGTCTCTCTGAAGTCTTTTCTCCTCTCTGGACTTAAGTCTCTTCATTTCTCTGAAACAGGAGGTTGCAATACTGGCCTCTCAGCTTCCAGCTTCAAGATGATGGGACTCTATGGCTTGCTTTAGTTTTGTTGTTTTGTTTTGTTTTATTCTATTCTATGTTATGGTTGTGGGGTACAGGTGAGGATTTACCACATAAGTAAGTTGCATGCAGGTGAAGTTTGGGCTTCTAAGTGGCCCTCTCCTCCTGATAGTGGGCCAGGTACCCAGTGTGTTGTCCCGTGTCCCCTTCCCTCCCCAGTAATGTCCAGCGTCTGCGGATCTCACCCTTGTGCTAGTGTGACTAGTGTTCAGGGCCCACTTGTGAGTGAGAACATGCAGCATTCAGTTCTCTGTTTCTGTGGTAATTCACTTAGTAGGATGGTCTCCAGCTGCATCCAATTTGCTGCAAAGTCCATGATTTTTGTCCTTCTTTATGGCTGCATAATATTCCATCATGTCGATGTACCACATTTTCTTTATCCAGTTCACTTTTGATGGGCATCTTGGTTGGTTCCATGTTTTTGCTATTGTGAGTAGTGCTGCAATAAACATGCGTGTGCAGGTGTCTTTTTTGTAGAGTGATTTATGTTCTCTGGGTATATTCTCAGGAGGGGGGTTGCCAGATTTTACAGAAGCTCGATTGTTAATTCTTTGAGGAATCGACATACAACCTTCCATAGAGGTTGAACTAGCTTATATTCCCACCAACAGTGTAGAAGAATCCCCTTTTCCCTTCAGCCATGCCTGCACCTGTGGTTTTTTTTTCCTTTATTAGTGATAGCCACCCTTACGGGTGTTAGGTGGTGTCTCATTGTATTTTAATTTGCATTTCTCTGATGATTAGTGAGGCCGAGCATTTTTCCATGTGTTTATTGGCTCCCTGTATGTCCACCTTTGAGAAGTGTCTGTTCATGTTCTTTGCCCATTTTTTAAATGGGGTTATTTTTTCCTTTCAATTTGTTTGAGTTCCTTGTAGGTCTGGATGTTAAGTCTTTGTCCAATGCAAAGTTTGTAAATATTTTTTCCCACTCCGTGGGCTGTCTCTTTACTCTTTTGATGTTTTCTGTTGCTCTGCAAAAACTTTTCAGTTTGACAAGGTCCCACGTGTCTATCTTAGCTTTTGTTGCAACAGCTTTTGAGGACTTGGTCATGAATTTGTTGCCTACTCTGATGTCCAGAAGGGTGTGCTCTAAGATTCTTATAGTTTGAGGTTTTACATTTAAGTCCTTCGTTCATTTTAAGTTGATTTTCGTATATAGTGATAGGTAAAGGTCCGGTTTCATTCTTCTGCACGTGGCTAGCCAGTTTTCCCAGCACCATTTGCTAAATATAGTTTTATTCCCCTCCAGTGATTGTTATTGATGGCTTTGTCAAAGATGAGTTAGTTGAGGGACTGAGTTTTTATTTCCAGATTCTCAGTCCTGTTCCACGGATCTGTGTCCTTATTCCCATACAAGTACCATGCCGTTTTGATTACTGTAGCCTCATAATGTAGTTGAAAGCCTGGAAGTGTGACTGTGGTTTTGAATCTAACCCAAATCAGAACTGCTGCTAAGGAATCTGCCTTTCCACAAATCACCAATCCCTCTCCCACCATGTCACCCCTGTGCCCCCTCCCAGGTGCTGACCTGACAGCAGTGGATCCTGTTCGGGGCAAGACGGCCCTGGAGTGGGCCGTGCTGACCGACAGCTTCGACGCCGTGTGGAAGATCCGGCAGCTGCTACGGCGGCCCCAGGTGGAGCAGCTCAGCCAGCATTACGATCCCGAATGGCCAGCCTTGCCTGGGCTCGTGGCCCAGGCCCAGGCCCAGGCCACCCCCTCCCTCCGAGAGCGGCTGCAGACCACCTTGAGTCTCCCCTTTGCCCAGTCTCTTCAGGAGGGGGGTGTCCTGGACCACTTTGTGACCCTCACGACCAGCCTGGCCAGCCCCTTCCTCACCACTGCCTGCCACACTCTGTGCCCCGAAAGCCCGCCGGCACTGGGCACGCGAAGCAAGTCTGTGCCAGAGCTTCTAGGTACCGCCCCACCCCCTCCCCCATCGC